AATGATGCAAAACATATTTTTCAGCATGATGCACACCGCCAAAATTATTGTAACAGCTCAGCTAAGGCAAGTTTATAATAGATCAGCCAAAATCTCAGCATTTTAAATCAATTAACAACAGTTACAGCTTAGAAAATAGCTTTTCTTCAATAGATCTAACAAAATCATATCAAAACATCTTGAAATAGCATATTAAACCGTTCAAAACGTAGTTCATAGGTTAAAGTAAACTCCCCTTACCTCAGAACGATGATTCACACTAGATCTACCGAATATTACTTGTTTTATAGTAAGATTCACCAAAGATTTGGCTTTAGAACGGAGTTTCTCCTAAGAACACCATGAACTTCTATGAGAAAGAGAAGAAGAAGAGAAACAAACGGTAAATCTAGCATCAAACTTAAAGAAACTTACTTCAAATCCTTTAGAATAGATGTAGAATCTCAGATCTGGCGAGAAATCTAAGTTTAGGAGGATTTATTATAGAAGAAAATGGTAGTATACGGCCTTAGAACCTTTGAGAAGCTTAAAGAGGAATGAAGAAATGAAAATTTTGTGTGAAGCCCTCTTTCTATAGAAAATTTTTGAAATTTACTGTTCACCGCCTTACTGTTCACGACGGAAACACTGTTCATGGCACTATTCATGCCAGAAAATACTGTGCACGCGTATTGTACACGCACTGTACGCGTATGTGACGTCAGCTATGACGTCATGATGATGTCACTGATGACGTCAGCAGTCACTGTACATACACAGTTTTTACTGTTCATACACGATTTGTACTGTTCATACGCGATTTGTACGAGGTTTTACTGTTCATTCGGCACTGTTCATACGGTATTGTTCACTTCTTTTTCTTTTTTCTTTTTTTTAATAATTTCAAACTCCATCTAAATCTATTGCAGTACCAAATAATCCTTCAATTAACATTGAACAAGTATAAAATATTATAGATTACTCAATAATAAATCACTAGCCTGACACATGGCGCTTCCTGGCGCCTTTGGGCCCAAGTTTCGATTTTGGTCTCGCTTTGGTCCTTTTTTGCTTAGTGACTAAATAACGCATTCAATATTCCTTTCTAGCTACTGAAACTCATTGGAAGTAACTCCTAGGACTCATAGGAACGGTTCCCCACTGTGCTCTCTTCTCTTGGCGATTGCTAGCGCCTTTGGGCCTAAGTTCCAGTTTTCTCCTCGTTCAATAGGTATGCATGCAAAACTCATCTTCGGTCGTTGAAACTCCATGGAAGTGACTCCTAGGACTCAGATGAAGGGTTCCCCACCGCTCTCTCCCCTCTTGGTGCTTCCCGGGGCCTTTGAGGCCAAGTTTTGATTTTGGTCTCGCTTTGGTCCTCTTTTGCTTAGCGGCTAAGTAAAACGTGCAATACTTGTCTTCAGCTGCTGAAACTCCTAGGACTCAAATGAAGGGTTCCCACCGCTCAATCCCCTCCTGACGCTGCATGGTGCCTTTGGGCCCAAGTTCCAGTTTTGGTCTCGCCTTGATCCCTTTTTGCTTAGCAGCTTAGAAACACGTGCATAACTCGTATCTAGTCGCCAAAACTTCTATTGTATGAATGAAAAGAAAATAGTGAATAAAAGCAAGAAAAGAAAATTTGGAATTCTGCTGCATGAATGAATTTGTTTGTTGCATAATTGAGGGAATTATTGAAAAATAATGTAGTTCCATGCTAGTTTTAAGTTCATTCACTCAAAATGTCTCTTTTCTTTTGGATTTGCATGTATTGTTTCCCATTTTGTTCAATACTTACCTTAACCTTAACCCTATTATAACCTGAAAAGGTCCTCTTGATGTGTGATTGATTGTATTAAGCAGAAGAGATTGAGAATATGGGTAAGCATATGGTAGGGTGAGGTAAAATTGATGATATTGAGGGTAAACACTCACCTTAAACACTTATGAGTGAGAGGGAAACACTTCCTTGTGAGTGGTAGTGATATCTTTCATTGATGTTTCACATGTAGCTTTGCTGTTATTAGCTCAAATTTGTAAGATTCTGCATAAAAAGATTTGTTGAGTGTGACTTTCATTGTGACTGAATGCATGAATGATTTGTTAAAGGGATAATTGGAAAGAATGATGTGGAATGAAGAATTCTGTACAAATTGAAAATAAAGTCCATGTAAAAAGATTTTCATTGTTCTTTTGATGATGCATTGAATCTCCCTTTGTATGTTTTGGTTTGCTTGAGGACAAGCAAAAATCTAAGTTTGGGGTGGTGATAAATGAAGATTTTACTAGTATTTTACCTTAGTTTTTAATACATTTGATATGAAAAATATGATGGAAAAAGCTGGAAAACTCATAAAAATAATAGAATGTTCAATTCATTTCTAAATAGTTTAATCGTTTAGATTTTGTGAATTTTCTATGCAAAAAGTACTGATTAGAACCTATTTTGCAGGAAAGTCTGAGTTGAGACCATAAGGTTGGAGGATTAAGAGAGAAAGATAGAAGAAAAGTAGCAAATTTGGAGACAAGGAACAAGAATTGATGAAGATGTGTTGGGTGTTATCACTTTCGCTGATGAAAGTGATTGTTCCAGAGCTTGGAAACGAAGGGAAATCTGGGCGTGATCACTATTGTTGGTGAAAAGTGAGCGTTCCAGAGAGTTTCTCAGAAGAGTACAAATGCGCGTTGTCACTTTTGCTGGCGAAAGTAAGCGTTCCAGAAAGTTCCTCAACATAGCAAAGTGTGCGTGATCACTATCGCTGGCAAGAGTGAACGTTCTAGTATGCGTAATCACTATTGCTGGCAAGAGTGAGTATTCCAGTGTGCGTGATCACTATCGCTGGCGAAAGTGAGTGTTCTAGAGAGCTCCCTAGCGTAGCAAGATGCGTATGAGCCTCTGCGTGGTTACTTTAATGCAGAAGAGTGATAACGCGCGAAAGGCGAGAATTCTATAAATTGCAGAAAAGCTCAGAAACTTGGGATCTTTTCTTATTTTTTCATTTTCACACCTTAGGAGAGTTAGAGAGGGAGATTGGGGGCGACTTCCATGCTCTGGACCTTAAGGAATTAGGCTGGGGATTGGATTTATGAAGAAATTCTGCAGCTCCTCTTCTTATACTCTTTCTTTCTCTTTTTCTTCTTTGAACATGTTTTGATTTCTTTTTTCTTATGGATTGATGGATCTGATTTTGATATTGTAAATTGATTGTGGATTTGGATTTTAAGATCTTGATTGTATTGAACGTTTAATTCTTTCCTTAATATAATTCTTGAATTTGCTATTCAATTGAATTGAACCTAGAGGACTTTCATCAATGGAAGTTGAGTTAATTTCTCAAATTTGAATTGAATGTCAAGGTTATTGATATCTTAGAGATAAGAATTCGTGATCTTGTGATCTCATAATTTCTAATGCCTAATGCAATGTTTGATTGATTTACACTTAAGGAATTAGGGTAGTTAATTGAATATTAGGATCAATGAGTCAAAGAATTGAACTTTGATTAATCTAGTGAAATTGATCATCAATCAATTAAGGAACTTAGAGTTCAGATCTACTTCAGTTTTGCAATTGATGAAGAGGTGAAATCAATCCTAAATCCATTCACATATCATTTCATTACTAAAATTCGTCACTCTGTTTTGTTGTGATTTTTTTATTTCTACAATTTATTGTTTTTGTTTGCAAATGCTCAAAACATTTCCAATATTCGTTTGGCTCAACTAGTTATTGACTTGTGAAGTGGTAATTGATAGAACTAATCCCTGAGGACGATACTTGGGACTCAAACTGAATTTCAAATTTTATTACTTGCTACAACTACCTAGTACACTTGCTAGTTAGTGTTCTCTTAGCTTTGTGACAAGTTTTTGGCATTGTTGCCGGATTATTTACTTTCTATATCATTAGTAGCAGAGAGATAGCTAGATTGAGCATTTCTTTTTGTTGTTTTGTTCCAAAATTTTATACATATTGTCCAATTTTTCTGCATAATTTTTTTTCTGCATTATTTTCTGTTGTTTTCTGCATAATCTCATTCTGCATTTTTCTGCATGGTTGTTTAATTTTTTTGCATAATTCAATTTAGTTTCTACATTTTATTATTTTCTGCATAAATTCTGCATTGATTTTGGTGTTTTCTGCATAATTTTTTTTTGGTATTCTTTTGCATAATTTTGTTTTTCATTCTTCTGCATAATTGTAATTTTCATTCTGCATAAAATTTCTATGTTTTTTGCATGTTTTATTTGTATTTTTCTGCATAATTTTTGCATCATTTTCTATTGACTGCATTATTCTATTTTCCATTTTTCTGCATAATTATCTAATTTCTCTGTATAATGCACTGTTGTTTCTGCATTTAGTTTTACTTTTCTACAGTGTTTTACAATAATTTTCTGCATAATTCATTTTTACTTCTCTCTAATTCTCTAACTTCATTTATATTTTGTTTACTTTCTTTTTGTATAAAAGGTAAAGCCAGAAATAAAGCTACTCTATTGCTTGATCTAGATACAAACAAGGCTCTTAAGCAATTGAAGAGTGAAGCAAAGGCAAGGAAGTTGCAAAAGAAAGTGTAGAACATAACATCTACTTTTGAAGAAGCAAGTGTGAACCAAACACTAGCAAAGGAGAACAATATGGCTGAAAACAACAGGACAAGGACCTTGGGAGATTATGTCATTCCAACTATGTAGGATTATAATTCAAGTATTGTTAGACCAACAATTGAAGCCAATAATTTTGAGATCAAACCTGCATTGGTGAAATTGATACAGCAAGATCAGTTCTCTGGAAATGTTTTAGATGATCCTAATATGCATCTCTAAAATTTTCTGTAGCTGTGTGACACCATTCGTATCAATGGTGTAAGTGAAGATGCTATCCGCTTGAGATTATTTCCCTTTTCTCTTAGGGACAAGGCTAAATATTGGCTTCAAGCTCAACCATAAAGAAGCATCACTACTTGGATTGACTTATGAACAAATTTCTAACTAAGTACTTTCCACCATCAAAATCTGTCAAGTTGTGAAGTGAAATCACCTCTTTTGTTCAACAAGATGGCGAATATCTTTATGATGCATGGGAAAGATATAAGGATTTGCTGAGAAGATGTCCTTATCATTATATTCCAGATTAGATGCAAATCCAAATTTTCTACAATGGGATGAATATTGACACAAGAACCATGATAGATGCAGTAGCTGGAGGTTCATTGAATACTAAAACTATAGAGGAAGCTCAACAATTAATTGTCATGATGGCAACCAGCATGTATCAAAATTTCAGTGGGAAGTATGTTGCAAGTAAGGGAGAGTTTGAAGCAAAGGCATTTGAGACTTTGATAAACCAAAATCAAATGAAAAATCAATTACTTTCTGAACAACTTGCAACCTTGACTTAACAAATTACTACTTTTCATGCTGGAGCTAGAAAAACACTCTACTTGATATGTGATTTTTTTGAAGGAAATCATATGAATAGAGCATGTGATGTACTTACACTAGAACCTCAAGAATATATTAATTACTTTAGTGATTTTCAGAGGTCTCAACCTCCATTCCATTTTGATTTTCAATATCAAACAAATAAGAGTCAACCACATTATCAATGGAATCAACAAAGTCCTGCAACAAAAAGTGATATTGCAGCAGCACCATTGTCCTATGCCTATTTTCAACCTCCACAGTCATATTGTCAAGCTTCTTCATCTCAACCTCCAAGAGAGTTATAATTTTCAAAATCTTTGTTTGAGAGAATGAATGAAATGGAGGAAACACTGCTACAATTTATGAAAGTTACACAGTCCAACCTCAAAAATGAAGAGGAATTTATGAAGAAGTTGGAGATTCAAATAGAACAAATTTCACAGCAGTTGGGACATAAGGATAAGGATAGATTCTTGATAGTCATATTTAAGTACATCTTTCTCTCCATGATTTTGGTTTAATTGAGCTTCATTAATGCATTATTTTGATGTGTTAGTTTAGATTTGTGTTAATAAGTAATTTAGGATTTAAATATAAATCTTTCTTAATTCCTGCCATAATTTCTTATTTTGACACAGTTTCTTATAAAGACCATATCTAGAGCTACACTACTCTGAATTGAACAAAATTGGTGTCCCTGGAAAGATAAGACAGAGATCTACAACTTCTTTTTTGGGAGAAAAGCCCAGTTCGAGCATATTCAGGTCTAAAATTGCGTCACAATGTTGTGGCCCTGCACTGAAATTTTCAGAATTTGATTGTATTGTTGATTTTACTTAGTTAGGTGTTTAGGAACCTCATTAGGAAGTTGGATCTTAATTAAGCCCAATTATGTTGTCTTTAAATAGAGGTTATGACTCCATGTACGAATCCTTATTTTTCTTTTCCCGCTCATTATTTTTCAGAATTCAAAGTCTTTATTTTAAATTCTTTCCTTTATTTTCGTCTCTCTACCTTCCAACTTTTCGTATTTTTCTGGTTTTGGCCGAAGCAAGCATGATCATGAAGCAAGGCTAATCCATCAATCAGTTCAAGGTTTCAAGAACTACATTGCATTTGAGTTTCGGGTTAGGTTCTATTGAATTCTCGCTCTTCCTCCTCTTTTCTGATTAGGATAATTACATTTTTCATGATATTGAATTTTCGTTTGCATTCTAAACAGAGAATGAGAATTTCAAATTTGAAATAAATGAATTCACCTAATTCAATAAATCAATTTTTCTGAATTTTGTTAGAGCATTGGATTTGCGATCGCAATTCTTGTTTTGATGGAATTCGTAATCTAGATTTAGATTTTGGGTTATTAATGTCATATTGAATTAGTGTTGATTGGAAATTCGTTGGAATTGTATTCATGTAACAATGAGAATTGTGTTGTAGTGATTGAGATCTTGATTTGGTTGAACTTCATATTTCGTTTTGTTAGAATTATTCTTTGTTCTTTTCTTTTCTGTTGTTTACAATTTAATTCAAAACAATCCATCCCTAAGCTAATATGAAAATGGAACCAAAAACAGAATGTATCTTATGTCCTTGTGAGATGACCTAGGTTTACTCCTTCTATTGCAAATTTTTTAAGAAAATCTAGTTTGTTTGATACCATTGCGACGTGGTTATCAATTCTCTAGCAATACTATCGTGAATCCAAGGGAGCAATGCCATGCTGTCATAATAAGAAGTGCAGCAGAGGTTTCTAATCTAAAAGATAAGGAGAAGAAGATAGCTACAAAGAATGCTAAAGAAGAAGCACAAGACAACTTGCAAAGAGGGAAATTCACTCTTTTAAGAAAAGAAAATTTAGAGGATAGTAACTGTACTACACCAGAAGGAAGAATCAATAAGATGGAAAAACAAAATGAAGATTCTATGATGAGAGAAGTTCTTGCTACAGTGAAATATCAAGATGATGAAAAGGAGGAAAAGAGGCTTGTAGAGTATATCAAGTTGCTGGAAGTCCCTCCAATTCTATTTCTTGGTGGAGTTTGTTCACTAATAACTTCTATTTTTGTTGATCCACCTCCATTCCTTTTTCTGAAATTCCATGGCCAAGGAAAATTCCCTCTTGGACCATGAAATGACACTTTTCCAATTCAAAACAAGGTTAGTATCTTGACATCTTTGCAAAATAGTAGACAAATTAGCTAAACAATCATCAAAAGAATTGTCAAAAATAGAGAAATCATCCATAAACACTTAATAACTTTCTCTACTAAATCAAAAAAAATGGACAGCATATACACCTTTGAAAAGTAGCGGGAGCGTTGCACAATTCAAATGACATTCTTCTATATGCAAAAACTCCAAATGGACATGTAAATGTAGTTTTCTCTTTATCCATAGGGTCCACCGCTATTTGATTGTAGTTGGAATATCCATCAAGAAAACAATAAAATGCATGTCCAGCTAGTCTTTCTAACATTTGATCAACAAATGACAATGGAAAGTGATTTTTTCTAGTTGCATCATTTAATTTTCTATAGTCGATACACATGTGCTAGCCCATGATAGTCCCAGCAGAAATTAATTCATTCTTTTCAATCGGCACAACGGTCATCCTTTCTTTTTAGGGACAACTTGGACTGGACTAACCCATTGGCTGTCTGAAATTGGGTAAATAATCCTTGCATCTAGCAGCTTCATTACTTCTTTTCTCACTACTTCTTTCATGGTTGGATTTAATCTTTTTTGTGGCTGTACTACCAGTTTAAAATGCTCCTCAAACAGAATTCTATGCTTGCAAAAAGATGGATTGATCCCCTTTAAATCTGAAATATGCCAACCAATTGCTAATAATCACTGGATTTTCATGTTCTTGGTCTAAGAAAGACTATATCAAGTGAGAAGGTAACTGTTTCAACTCTAGTTTCTCAGTCTTCTCTTCCTTCATTTCATTTTTTAATTCTTTCTTTGCTGGATTTTCTAAAAAAGGAACAATTGGCAAGTTGTCCAGCTGCTGCACATATTCTCTCAAGCGTTCTTTTTTTTACAGCAGCAGAATGATTCCCTGCAACTACTGTTTCCTTTAACAATGAAGTTTCATCAGCATTATTGTTGTTACAATTCTAAACACTAGCAAGTGCACTAGGAATTGCAGCAAGTAATGAGTAATTTTTAAGATCAAAGTATCGTCTTCACAGGGAATTAGGAAATCAATTATCAATTCACAAAACAATAACTAGTTGAGCTATAAGAATTTGCAAGAGTTGTAACATTTAGAAATCAAGAAACAAGAACAATTAAAAGGTAAAGAACTTGCTGAAAATAAAGTACAAAATTTGATGTTGAGATTAGGAATGGATGAATGATAGTTAGGAATTTATTTCACAAGAATGTCAATATCAATTCAATTATGCCACTGAATATTCAAGCAATTGGTTAATTGACAATCAGTTTCTCTTATTAATAGTCAAAGTTTAATCCTTTAAATCGTTGACCCTAACGAGTAACTAAACCACCCTAATCCCTTAGGTGAAGTTCAATTTTAAGTTGCATTAAGGCTTAGAACTGTAGGATTGGAAGATTAGGTTCCCTTATCCCTAAGAAATACCTAATTCTGGTTGCTAATTCATATCAAAGAAGCAAATCCAACTTCCATTGGCAAATGTTCCTCTTTGATACGAATTTCCATTCAAAGATTGCAACGACAACAGAATTAACAACTCAATTAATCCAAGAACTCAAATTTCAGAAACAAGAAGCGAATCAATACATCAATTCAAGGTCCATAAACTCCTAACTACAAAGAATTAAGCAAACATTGTAACAGAGAAAGAGAAAGAAGGAGAAGAACGCAGAAGCATCATCTTCAACAATCCCCGATCAGATTCCTCTTCTTGGAGCTTGATGTTCGTCCCCAATCCTCTCTCTGACTCTTTCTCCACGAAGGAATGAAGTTAAAAACAGAAAATGAGCAAAAGACCCTGAAAATCTGAGCGTTCTGGTATTTAGAGAAATTCCCGATTTTGTGCGTTGTCACTTTTCTTCATAATAGTGGCTACGCAGAGGCTCGTGTGATTCTGGAATTCTAGAACTATCACTTTCGCTGCTAAGAGTTGCAATGCAAGAGGTCGAGTTGTTGTGCGTGTTCACTTTTATGAGTAAAGGTGGCCACACACAACTTGCCAAGTTGAGGACTCTCTGGAACATCCACTTTCATTGATAAAAGTGTTAATGCAGGGTATTATGAAATTTTGCCTTCTCTGGAACGCTCACTTTTACTGATAAAAGTGGTTACGCCCAGACTTCACTTCTCTTTTTTGCTTTGGAGTGATCACTTTCACTGTCAATAGTGATCGCGCCTAGCCTGCATTCCATTGTACTTGTGTTTTGGAGTCCAGAATTGCTATTCTTCCTCTTCTTTTCCATTGAACCTCCATTTCCACGACTTTTGCTCAGATTATTCCTACAAAAACAAGATTAATTTCTTAAGATCTAAGCAGAAATTCTGCAAATGCTAAAATAACTACATATTAAAACAAAACCTTCAATCATTATCTTTCTCTAAGTTTTTCTTCTTTTTCTAACTTTTTTTCTTATCAAATGGGTTAGAATTACCCTAAAATATTAATCAAGATATGGATTCATCACTACCCCAAACTTGAATTTTTGCTTGTCCTTAAGCAAATCAAATTAAACCAAAGG